CTGTCTGGCTCATAACTAGTAAACTATTAGACCTAGAACTATTAAACTTGGCAAATGTATACATCTTGGGTAGAAGGTGTGTCGCAACCTATTTCAAGGTCACTGTGACCTTTGATTTAAGTGAAATTTTTTAAAAAACTAAGTCTTTTAAATTTTGAATTTCATAATCCGAAAAAATGTAAAAATATAGTTGTATCCTTATTAAAAAAAGTGTTAAATCAAGAAAATACTTATTTTTTTTTTCAGCATATACTTGACAGCAATCTATAACAAATATAATGTATGTTAGAGAAATCCCATGTCTCCCATGAGTGTAATTATCAAGCACTGGTCAAGAGTTTTGATAACAGAAAGTTGCATGTCAAATTAGAGAGAAATTAATGAGTTTAGTGTGAGGAGCTTACTGGAGAGCATCGATGTTATCTATCCCTTTGGGAATTAAGGCAGATGGGTAATCCTGTTGGATTAAAAATAGCTCTTGTTGGCTAGCCTAAGTTTAAAAATGAATTTGATGAAAAGTAATTAACACTAATTTGATATTGCATAATAATATGATATGATATTATATATTAATATTATTAAATAAATTTAAAAAACTAATTTCATAGGGGTGGAATCAGCATGTCCATTTTCCATAGAAATCGCATATTAAAATCTTTCTGACATTAAATGAAAAAAAAATCAATGAGAATTTTATATATTTTTAAAAATATTTTATAGTAAAGAGTTCAGATTCATTGATCTATAGTAATGAGTAGACAAGCATCCAGTCAAAGATTAATTAATGAGTTCAATTTAGGAAGGCTAGCCAGCATCTTCTTATCTGTGTCCTTTGGGAATTAAACAGAAGAACTGCTGGTCAGTTGAAATAGCATATGTCATTTGATGGCCAGCCTTTTATTTTCAATATTAATTTGGTATAGATCAAGTTGTTAATTAAGACTAATTTGATATTGTTTAATATGCTGGGCATTTGACAAGGTCTAATACAACCAGTATAGAAATCTATCAATGATGTTATGATTAATGCCTACACTACACTGCAGGGGATGGATAAACAAATATTTTAAGGAATAGAAAAAATCATGGAAATCTTACAATCAAGGTTGACATGATTTTCTTGCACTCTAAACCATTTAAGTTAATTTCAATTTTTTGACGGGCGTATCATGCTGTGGCGTGGCACTTTATTTTTATTAATTCCAGGTGACATGCAGAAGTTAGTAGAGGGTCTGAGATTGTTGAACCAGGCTGATCCGTGTGTTCAGGTTCTGGTTCAGGAGACAGGTGAACACGTGATCATTACAGCAGGAGAGGTTCATCTACAGAGATGTGTGGACGACCTCAGAGAAAGGTCAGATAACTGTGTTGGCAAGAAGTCCATCTGTCTTAATGTTTGCTTGTCTGTCTGTAAACATTTTTGAAAGTCTAAATAGGGTGGAATATCACTTAGGAAACTGACGGACTATACAGTTGTGCCTCTTTGTTATAGGTATGCCAAGATGGACATCAACGTGTCTTCACCAATTGTCCCATTCAGAGAGACAATCGTCCCTCCACCAAAAACAGACATGGTGAACGAAGCCATCTCAGACCAACGCCAGGTCATCAAGAAAGATACTGAAGATGATGAAATCATTGAGCCGGGGTTAGTAGAGGTCAGCACGATCAATGGGAGGTGTACCCTCAGGATCAGGGCGGTGCCTCTTCCAGAGGACGTCACACGGCTACTGGAGGAGAACCAGAGTCTGATAAAGACAATGTGTCAGATCTCCAAGGCTCACGGTAAGGGGAGGGAGGGACTGGAAGTCCAGCAATCTGTGATAGACTCTATCAGAGAATTCAAATGTCAACTCAGTAAGGTTTTCCAGGCTTCTGGAAAGATGTGGAGGGATGCAGAAAATCAGATATGGTCGTTTGGACCTAAGAGAGTTGTATTACTCAATCGTGTGAGGGGATATGACAGAGCTAATGTGTGGAACTGTGTGGAACAGAAACAGTGGGAACTTAAGCTAAGACAGTATGATAACAGCATAATCAGTGGATTTCAAATTGCCACCCTTGCTGGGCCCCTTTGTGAGGAGCCCTTAAGGGGTGTATGTTTCATTATTGAGGAATGGAACTATGTTAGGAGTAGTCACTCAATTTCTCTTGATGAAGAAGTTCATAAAAGGGAGGTAACTCATATAAATTCCTGTGATAATCCTTCCTCAGTGAGTCAGACTGAATCTGTGTCCATGGTAACACAAAGTGAAACTGACAGAGACAAAGATGGCAGCGAGTCTGAGACCGAGTCTACTGACAGTGAGATTGAGCCGTCTCAGCCAAGACAGAAGGAGGGACACAGTCACATGTCAGGTCAGCTGATTTACTGTGTGAAGGAGGGCTGTCGTAAAGCGTTCCAGACCCAACCTCAGAGACTGATGGTAGCAATGTATAAGTGTAACATACAAGCTACAGCCGAAGTCTTAGGTAGGTGAATTACAACCTGAGCATATAGTAATAAAAAAATTATCATACAATGCTTCTGGATATCTTGATAAATCTTATGATATTATAAATCATGCACATTTATGACTCTGTTATGTTGAATGAGTACAGGGTATTCAGTTTGAACTGACTTTGGGTCAGATTATTTTGGTGAGTGATGTCCTTGTAAGCGGTTTGGTTGAGTCATTATGTTATATTTATTTGCTGTAGGAAAACTGTGTGGTGTCCTGGGTAAGCGGTTTGGTCGAGTTATTGAGGACACAATGATGGAGGGCTCTCAGAACTTTAACATTAAGGCCGTGCTGCCTGTGGTAGAGAGTTTTGGATTTGCTGAGGATGTGAGGAAGAAGACGAGTGGTTTGGCTAGTCCTCAACTGGTGTTCAGCCATTGGGAGGTCAGTATATCACTGGCTAGGGATGTAATATATTTAAGGAGTTAATTAATTAGGAAGAAGATGAGTGGTTTGGCCAGTCTTCAACTGGTGTTCAGCCATTGGGAGGTCAGTATATCACTGGCTAGGGATGTAATATACTTAAGGAGTTCATTAATTAGGAAGAAGACGAGTTGTTTAGCCAGTCCTCAACTGGTGTTCAGTCATTGGGAGGTCAGTATATCACTGGCTAGGGATGTAATATACTTAAGGAGTTTATTAATTAGGAAGAAGACGAATTGTTTAGCCAGTTCTCAACTGGTGTTCAGCCACTGGGAGGTCAGTACTCAAAACCAAATTTTATTCGCGACAACTTTATTTTGCAATTTACCATAGGTTTTTTGCTTTGATATATATTTTTGCTGTCAAGCCTTTTTGGATCTGTTGATAATAGACCAGAGGCTTGAAGGACAAATATTCACAATGACGAAGTTGCAGAGAATCTCGTGAAAAATTTTGCACATTACACAAATAAAAATTGCTTCACAGAATATCTATATGTATAGGGATGAAATGTATAACTAAAATTAATATTTTGAAGAAAGGTCTTGAGCTTTTATAAAAATTGCCTTTCTTACTTTATTGAACACAGTCCCTTAGAAATATCGTTACTTTTGACAGGTGTTGGATGTTGACCCTTTCTGGGTGCCCACTACAGAGGAGGAATATGCTCATTTTGGAGAAAAGGCGGATTCTGACAACAGAGCCAGACATTATATGAACCAAGTCTGGAAACGGAAGGGACTCAAAGTGGACGAGAAAATAGTGGAGCATGCTGAAAAACAAAGGACACTCACCAAAATGAAATAAATATTGAATTTTTAAATTAAATTTACTTGTGTCTGTGTTGTTTGAAATAAATTGTATTAATAAAAACTGTTTTACTTTTGTTTGTGTCATTTTCATACTGAGTGTTACATCATAGTCTCAATACGAATTGAGATCACATAAGCAAGAATTATCATAAACTTTTTTCTTATCAAAGCTCAACTGCTATGTTTACATATATATTTTGATGTTATTTGGGGTAATTGTATTATTTCGAAAGATATAGAAGGACATTTTTTTTTATCTATAATATCATGAAGAATTCAGGGGATATTTTCAGCCAAGGTGGATTAAGTGTTGACAGAATAAAGGGAAGAAAAGTATTGATAAGGAATATTGAAAGTAAAAATAACCAATAAGTGATGGTGTCAGTTACATGTTAATATCTACCTTCCTGCTGATTAGAAGATGGAAATGCTTCTTTGATCATGCAGATGCATCGTTTTCATGTTTAAAGTTTTAAAGTGCATGAAGACACAATGAGTACAAATACATATGACACAACTGATCTCAATATTAGCTAAAAATGTATCATTAATTATTTTTTATATTTTATGCTATGATTAATTGTGAGTCAGCATTACGGTTATCAATACATTTAAAATGTCTGGTAAATGCTCCAATCAGATTTGTAACATTATACAAACCTTATGAAGATCTTTTGATTTTTGTTCGATTCAATATTATTCAAAAGTTTTATGCACATTTCTTTTGGATTGATTGATTGCTACTTTACTTGCAACATGTACAATATTTTTCAGTTTTAATTAATATAAAATATTTATATTCTACACATCTAAAGCATCTTACGTATTTCCTTTAATTAATGCACTATATAAAGAATGTAAACTATAAATGTAAATGTATTATAGTTAGCGTGTACGATATTTGGCGGAAATTGAATTTTGAATAAGTTAGCGTAGATTTGATTTAGCGCAGTTCTTCATATTCTTATTAATGTGTATACTAGGGGTGTTCAATAAATAATGTCCTTGGAGTTCAGAAAGAAGTAAAAGACCTTTTTTAATGATTTAGTCTTCATGATTTTACCTATAAATCTCTTTTAATTCAAACACATGTCTGTAACATTTTTTATCCAATTTCTGATTGTATTTAGAACTCATTTTTGGGTATGACCTTTAGTCTACTGGAAAATGGCAGATCCAATGTTTTTTCCTTCTGAAAGGTGTTTTTTCAAGTTTGGAAATAGAAACAAGTCAAAAGGTCAAAGATCTGGCAAATATTGTTAATGTGAAAAAAAAACATTAACTTTCTGTTTATGTCGAAAACCCCTTTACTCTTCAGGACATGCAGGCTTGTACGCTGTCATGAAGAAATTCAATGTAGTGGATTCCTGATTTTAGGTCCTTCCTATAATAAAACTTTCGATATATTTTGCAAAAAATTGCTTTCTAGATTCTTTCAGAAATTAAACTGTCTCTCCGAATACGAATTTGAACAACAATACCACTAATATTTAAGAAAATTTCATATAAATCTGTCTTTGTGCTCTTGCATACATTGAACCTTTGCTTTTGTCAGACCTTCGCGTTTTTATCAAGTACATTTTATGGTAAATTTTGTTTTGATGATTTTAAGCAATAGATTCATGTTCCAATATATGTTTAAATATAAAACAAACGTGGATAACTACAATTACTGATGTTTTAAAATAATTGTTAAGACTTTCGTACACGCTTTCGTTTTTACTCATTTTTCAAAATATAGGGTGACCTTTGAGTACCAAGCTTTTTTTTTTTACTGTCAAACGTTTCTTAAAACAGTGTAAATGACTCCCGATATAATGTCTATCAAGTTTGTTATGAATCTTAAAGTCAATCATACAGCATCAAATATAATTTGTTGAAATTTGGCAAACAGTACATGTTTAAGTTGTTATAATTTTTGTTGGCAAGGAGGGTACCCATTTTTGATGCCCATTATATAATTTTTTTATCATTGAAATCCAACTGCTCATTTGTCTATAAAACAGGCATCGGTTGCTGTAAATGACATATGTTTCAGTGAATATTTCTTTGGGACTTTTAAGTTTTACAGCAGCTTTAATGTACCCTTTATTTTCACTCTAGTTGACTGATTCTTTACTATTCATTTATAATGCAGTGTCTCGAATAGCCCTTGTTTCCCAGCTTCTCACGATGAAACTATGTGATGAAAAGTGATCACATAAACTGTTATAAATTCAGTAAAGATTCAATAATAAGAGAAAGTCAAGTTTAATGTCATATGATATCTATTTTGTTTGTCATACAGTTCAGGACATTATTTATTGAACAGCCCTCGTAGTTGCAAGACATTTAGCGTTGTACTTGATTTAGCGATTGTTGCGTTCCGCCAAAGCCGCTAAAAAGAATACACTGCCAAATGTTATACGTTTACAGTATTTGTCAATAAGAATTTTCAGGAGTCATTGTCAGTAACTTCCCTCCCCACTTTATTAGAAGAAAGGGTTTAAACTGAATAGTTTTCCCAGACGATGAAGTTTGACTCAAAGTTAGCAGAAAATCAGAATCTTAAACAGTGTAAGTGCTTTCAGATATTTAACACTATTTGACCATAATTTCATCAAATTTAACTGTCGTGAAAAAATTAATGTGTCTATTAGTAAGGCAAAAATAGGTGCATTTTAAATATTTTCACCAAATAAATATGTTGACAAATGACATTACTGTGTATAATGTAAGTACAAGGCTTATTTTAACTTTTTTGAAGAAATCCTTAGCTGTGTATTTCATTCTCTTCTTCACAGCTTTCATAAACTGCTCTGCGTCAGAAGAATCTCCTGTGATTGTATTTGTCTCCAAGATGCTCCCAGTCGACAAGAAAATGCTCCCCCAAAACAAACAAAGGTAGATATTTAGTAAAGGATGATTAAAGTCATTGCTACTATATAGAGAAAAATATTTTTGTTTCAGGATTTTCATTGATGTTACTTACAAGAACAGGAAATACATGTCTGATATTAGACAGTACTGTATAATTTGCTGCATATTTAAATTTAAAAGAGTCTAGGGTTTTACATTTTCTGTGCATTTGGACAGACCTTTAACAGAAGCTGAGATCGCAGAAAGACGAAGAAAAGCTAAAGAGAAAATTGCAGAAAGAGCAGCAGCTAAGAGCCAAGGGCAGACAACTGAGGCAGTCACTCAGGAAGGGGAGACTAATGAAGGTTGTACAAAAATTTGAGACATAGATAATTTTAAAGGTTCTAATGTGTCCACTTGATTTAAAATCAACTGTGTACATTTTATTGAAATGAATATTTAGTAATGTACAAGTCATATATGACTTATTTAATTTGACTGTCAGGTCAGAATGTACCTAGAAATCTTTTAGATGTTACAATAACATTTTACAGTACTAAACCCCCTTCCTGAGGATGAGCCAGAAAGTAAAGATAAGGAGACAGACTTTGTGTTTGTAGCGTTTGCTCGGGTATTTAGTGGCACCATCAGAAAGGGACAGAAGCTGTATGTACTGGGGCCCAAACATGATCCAGCCCTGATTTCTAAAAAGGTAGTCCAGCTAATTATGATTAAATACATAATTACTGTCTATGTTATACTTAATCTATAAAGTTATTAACCCAAATAATTAAATTCTAGCCATTAAACATTTGAAATGCTTATCAAATAAATCTGTACAAATTAATGCATGCATATTGCTATACATGACTGTATACTATTTTACAGAGACTTTTTATCATGTTATAGATTAACAGTGGTGAGGGTATAAAAGAAGTGAATAGCATTCAGGAGTTGTCACATGATGATCATGCGACCTGTGTCACTATCAAGGATCTCTTTGTATTCATGGGGAGGGAGTTGGAAGGGATGGACCACATTCCAGCAGGGAACATACTGGGTTCGTACCATACAAGTTACAAATGTATCTCGGAATTTTTATAAAATTTTATTTTTCAAACTTTTAAATTTGACTTAATTTGACCCAATGCATTAAAGCTTTTATTTTTCTTAACAAGAATGGGAACCTATTTTAGATGAATTAAAAAAATGAAGGTATAATCAAGTTTTTTTTGGCTCAGGGTTGTACTTTATTTAGGTATTGGAGGTTTGGAGGACCACATCCTGAAATCAGCTATGTTACAACGCGAAATGTAAAAACAACGCGAAATGTAATAAACCTGGATTATTACATTTTGCGTTATTACATTTTGCGTTGAGATCAACGCAAAATGTAATAACGGAAAATGTAATAACAGGATTTTTAGATTATTACATTTTGCGTTATTACATTTTGCGTCGAGATCAACGCAAAATGTAATATCGTCCTTTTTTGTTGTTACATTTTGCGTTATTTTATTTTTGCATTGAAGACAACGTAAAATGTAATAAACAATATGTAATAAAACAAAACATAATTTTTTTTTGACTGCGTTTAACAGAAAAGATCATAAAATTGATCCAAATATATACATATAACCGACATGGAAAAAACGCTGTTAGAATATATAGAACTAAAACAATTTAGACCAACGTAAGGGCTTTTACTGACATAAATACATCTAAATGTATCGTTTTTCTGACTTTGATTTTAGTAATATTGAATGCACTATACTTAATTATACAGAATTAATTTCACTTTGATTGGTATATTTTTGATATTCTTAATAAATTTCTAACCAATAACACATAGTTAATTACCGAAGATTGACCATAGGTTCATTAAAAGCTCTTGATATGCATATTCGGCATGTATACATTGGTGAACGAATTAGAAGTGTATGCGTGTGTCAAGCGAGGAGGGACAGGGACAGGGTGGGGTGTTTACTTAGTATGTTTAGTATTGTATTAATGTGGACATGCAGAAACAATTCATTTTATTATAGGATAGAAAGAAAGAGATAGATATAATTTTGTTAAAAATTTTTGCTTGACTGCAGTGCTGTAGATTTGCTTAGAACAGTATGGTATCATTACACCTGCAAGAACAAATGAATAGTTTTTTTTAGATTCATTGCATTTCTCTATAAAAGAAAGCAAAAGCACACTGGTCAATCCCCCCAACACCCCTGTCCACAGATGCACGTTTCTATATTTGCAACACCTATAATTTGAATACATTTATTAAACTGATTTTAAACACATGTAGCTAATTCAATAAATCAATATATTATAAAATTTATTAATTGTAATAGCGTATATCTATTTTTTCCTTTTGTTTTATTTTCTTTTCATCGGCCACTACACTATTGAAAATTGTACTCAATCTGCCTGACGAAAAAAATTGTGTTATTACATTTTGCGTTCTTGCCTTTTGCTTAATCTCGACGCAAAATGTAACAATGCAAAATGTAATAATAATGCAATAAAATCCTGTTATTACATTTTGCGTTATTACATTTTGCGTTGATCTCGACGCAAAATGTAATAACGCGAAATGTAGTAATCCTCTAAAGTGTGTTGTTACATTTTGCGTTATTACATTTTGCGTTAATTTCAACGCAAAATGTAATAACGCAAATTGTTATAATCCAGGTTTATTACATTTTGCGTTGTTATTACATTTCGCGTTGTAACACAGCTACAGTGTCCAGTACCCTGATGTGTCCAGCTTTCTGTTATCTTTACTTTCATGCTGCTCCTATTGTCAGGGAGGCCATAGAACCAAGTAACACTCGTTAGTATCTGTTATAAAGATCATATAACCAAGTCATACTCGTGAGTATCTGTCATCGAGATCATACAACCAAGTCATACTGGTGAGTATCTGTAATAGAGATCATAGAACCCAGTCACACTCGTGCGAATCTGTTATAGAGATCATAGAACCCAGTCACACTGGTGAGTATCTGTTATAGAGATCATAGAACCAAGTCATACTGGTGAGTATCTGTTATAGAGATCATAGAACCCAGTCATACTGGTGAGTATCTGTTATAGAGATCATAGAACCCAGTCACACTGGTGAGTATCTGTTATAGAGATCATAGAACCAAGTCACACTCGTGAGAATCTGTCAAAGAGATCATAGAACCCAGTCATACTGGTGAGTATCTGTTATAGAGATCATAGAACCCAGTCATACTGGTGAGTATCTGTTATAGAGATCATAGAACCCAGTCACACTGGTGAGTATCTGTTATAGAGATCATAGAACCCAGTCATACTGGTGAGTATCTGTTATAGAGATCATAGAAGCCAGTCATACTGGTAAGTATCTGTCATAGAGATCATAGAACCCAGTCACACTCGTGAGAATCTGTTATAGAGATCATAGAACCCAGTCACACTGGTGAGTATCTGTAATAGAGATCATAGAACCCAGTCATACTGGTGAGTATCTGTTATAGAGATCATAGAAGCCAGTCATACTGGTAAGTATCTGTCATAGAGATCATAGAACCCAGTCACACTGGTGAGTATCTGTTATAGAGATCATAGAACCCAGTCACACTGGTGAGTATCTGTTATAGAGATCATAGAACCCAGTCACACTGGTGAGTATCTGTAATAGAGATCATAGAACCCAGTCACACTCGTGCGAATCTGTTATAGAGATCATAGAACCCAGTCATACTGGTGAGTATCTGTTATAGAGATCATAGAACCCAGTCATACTGGTGAGTATCTGTTATAGAGATCATAGAACCCAGTCACACTGGTGAGTATCTGTTATAGAGATCATAGAACCCAGTCACACTGGTGAGTATCTGTAATAGAGATCATAGAACCCAGTCACACTCGTGCGACTCTGTTATAGAGATCATAGAACCCAGTCATACTGGTGAGTATCTGTTATAGAGATAATTGAACCCAGTCATACTGGTGAGTATCTGTTATAGAGATCATAGAACCCAGTCACACTGGTGAGAATCTGTTATAGAGATCATAGAACCCAGTCACACTGGTGAGTATCTGTAATAGAGATCATAGAACCCAGTCACACTCGTGAGAATCTGTTACAGAGATCATAGAACCCAGTCATACTGGTGAGTATCTGTTATAGAGATCATAGAACCCAGTCATACTGGTGAGTATCTGTTATAGAGATCATAGAACCCAGTCATACTGGTGAGTATCTGTCATAGAGATCATAGAACCCAGTCACACTGGTGAGTATCTGTTATAGAGATCATAGAACCCAGTCATACTGGTGAGTATCTGTTATAGAGATCATAGAACCAAGTCACACTGGTGAGTATCTGTTATAGAGATCATAGAACCAAGTCACACTCGTGCGACTCTGTTATAGAGATCATAGAACCCAGTCATACTGGTGAGTATCTGTTATAGAGATCATAGAACCCAGTCACACTCGTGAGTATCTGTTATAGAGATCATAGAAGCCAGTCATACTGGTAAGTATCTGTTATAGAGACCATAGAACCCAGTCATACTGGTAAGTATCTGTTATAGAGATCATAGAACCCAGTCATACTGGTAAGTATCTGTTATAGAGATCATAGAACCCAGTCATACTGGTAAGTATCTGTTATAGAGATCATAGAACCCAGTCATACTGGTGAGTATCTGTTATAGAGATCATAGAAGCCAGTCATACTGGTGAGTATCTGTCATAGAGATCATAGAACCCAGTCACACTCGTGAGAATCTGTTATAGAGATCATAGAACCCAGTCACACTGGTGAGTATCTGTAATAGAGATCATAGAACCCAGTCATACTGGTGAGTATCTGTTATAGAGATCATAGAACCCAGTCATACTGGTAAGTATCTGTCATAGAGATCATAGAACCCAGTCACACTGGTGAGTATCTGTTATAGAGATCATAGAACCCAGTCACACTGGTGAGTATCTGTTATAGAGATCATAGAACCCAGTCACACTGGTGAGTATCTGTAATAGAGATCATAGAACCCAGTCACACTCGTGCGAATCTGTTATAGAGATCATAGAACCCAGTCATACTGGTGAGTATCTGTTATAGAGATCATAGAACCCAGTCATACTGGTGAGTATCTGTTATAGAGATCATAGAACCCAGTCACACTGGTGAGTATCTGTAATAGAGATCATAGAACCCAGTCACACTCGTGCGACTCTGTTATAGAGATCATAGAACCCAGTCATACTGGTGAGTATCTGTTATAGAGATAATTGAACCCAGTCATACTGGTGAGTATCTGTTATAGAGATCATAGAACCCAGTCACACTGGTGAGAATCTGTTATAGAGATCATAGAACCCAGTCACACTGGTGAGTATCTGTAATAGAGATCATAGAACCCAGTCACACTCGTGAGAATCTGTTACAGAGATCATAGAACCCAGTCATACTGGTGAGTATCTGTTATAGAGATCATAGAACCCAGTCATACTGGTGAGTATCTGTTATAGAGATCATAGAACCCAGTCATACTGGTGAGTATCTGTCATAGAGATCATAGAACCCAGTCACACTGGTGAGTATCTGTTATAGAGATCATAGAACCCAGTCACACTGGTGAGTATCTGTTATAGAGATCATAGAACCCAGTCACACTGGTGAGTATCTGTAATAGAGATCATAGAACCCAGTCACACTCGTGCGACTCTGTTATAGAGATCATAGAACCCAGTCATACTGGTGAGTATCTGTTATAGAGATCATAGAACCCAGTCATACTGGTGAGTATCTGTTATAGAGATCATAGAACCCAGTCACACTGGTGAGTATCTGTTATAGAGATCATAGAACCCAGTCACACTGGTGAGTATCTGTAATAGAGATCATAGAACCCAGTCACACTCGTGCGACTCTGTTATAGAGATCATAGAACCCAGTCATACTGGTGAGTATCTGTTATAGAGATAATTGAACCCAGTCATACTGGTGAGTATCTGTTATAGAGATCATAGAACCCAGTCACACTGGTGAGAATCTGTTATAGAGATCATAGAACCCAGTCACACTGGTGAGTATCTGTAATAGAGATCATAGAACCCAGTCACACTCGTGCGAATCTGTTACAGAGATCATAGAACCCAGTCATACTGGTGAGTATCTGTAATAGAGATCATAGAACCCAGTCACACTGGTGAGTATCTGTTATAGAGATCATAGAACCCAGTCACACTGGTGAGTATCTGTAATAGAGATCATAGAACCCAGTCACACTCGTGCGACTCTGTTATAGAGATCATAGAACCCAGTCAT